ACCCTGCGGCTGCTGCTCGGCGCCGACGCGGGGCTCGGCGCCGCCGCGGCAGCTGCCCTGCAGCTGCCCCTGCGGCTGCTGCTGCCGCGGGCCGTATATGCCCTGGCGCTCCTGCCCCTGGCGGTCGTGGCCCTCTCCGCGGCAGCCGCCCCGGCCGCTCGGGCCCTGGGGCTGCCGAGCGGCGCAGCGTGGGGCGCTGCGGCGCGGGCACGCGCTGCCCTGTGGCTCGTGGCGGCCCTGTCGGGCCCTGTGGTGATGGTCCAAGGTTACAAGGGGCCGACCATCGTTTTCCTCGGACTCCTGCAGGCCCTCTGCCTGCTGGCCCTCCTGGCCGTCCGCCAGCGGGCTATCGGCCTCGCCGCCGCCGCCGCCGCTGCGCCTCCGCCGCCGCCGCCGGCCACGCCGCCGCTCGAGCGGCGCGACGGCAGCGCCGGCGGCGCGCCCGACGACTTTGCGCCACTGGCGGCGTCCCTGTTTGGGATGCACGGCCTGCAGCTCTTCTACTGCAGCGGCCACTTTTGCGAGTTTTCCGGGCTGCAGTACGCGTCGTCATTCATCGGGTTCGATGACATGGCGCCCCTGGTGTCGGGCCCGCTGCTCTTAGTCAACACCTTTGGGCCGCTGATGCTGTTGTGCCTCTCGCTGCCGCTGGCCGTCGCCGCCGGCCGCCTGGCAGGGGGCAGCGGCGGCGGCAGCGCGGACACCGCGCGCGGCGGTGGCGGCGAGGGGCAGGGCGCCCTGGCGGGGGCGCTGCTGTGGGCGAGCGGGGCGCGCGCGGCCGCGCTGTGCGTGTGCGTCGCGAGCGCGGCGGTGCAGCAGGGGCACATACTGCTGTGGGCGATATTCGCGCCCAAGCTGGTTTTTGAGATGTGGCTGTGCGCGGTGGCCGACGCGTTCCTGCTGCTGGGCGCCTGGGTGTTGCCTGCGTGGTGACGCCCCCAGCTGCCTGGACAACTTAAAGTCTGTTGGACCCAAAAGTGATCTGACACAGTCGCTGCAACGTGACACGTGCACCCATGAACTTGATGTCTATACCTCCGAATCTCCTGCGCATAGGAACCCTTCCGTTGCTCTGAAATGGCGTGTGACGAAGTAAAGCTGCTGCGATTGCCGTGCGCTTGCACGGGCGGCCGACACCGACACGGGCCGCCGCGGCTGCGGCGGCAGCGGCGCCGCCGCCTGTGCAAGCGCGCTGGGAGATGCTCCCTGCCAGGAGGGGGGCCGCACCGCCCAGCTGGCTGCTTCAGGGGGCCGCCGGGCGCCGCACGCAGCGCGGCGGCGCGGCGACAAGACGGGGGAGGGGGAGGGGGCGGCCGCGCGCCCTGCCACGGCTGGGCGCACGGAAGGCCCGGCCTGACGCGGGCAAAGCCACGCATATGTGCTCGCTCAGCGTGCGCTGGGTTGGGGTTCTTGGTCTCATGCAGGCTGGCCAGGTGGTGCCTGCGCGTTGTTGGTCTGCCTGTGCGGCGGTGTCCTGTGCATTGGCTCCGCTCGCAGCCGCTTGCATGCGGCCACGGGCACAAGTCATGCGTGCGGAGATTATGGCAGCCTTGTAATCTGCATGGCCCCGTCCCAGCTCGCCATGCGGCTGCGGCCGTGGGTGTGGCGACGGTTGGTAACAGCCTGCCGTCTCGGCAGAGGCCATGGCGCGCTCTGGCGAACGATGCTGCTTTCGTGCAGCGCAGATCCACCTATTACGTGTAAATCTGTGGAGAAGGCCGCTGAACCAGGCTCACCAGATGCAAGCATGTTGCAGCCTGGAGCAGAGGAGTGAGTGCTCTGCATGTCAGGGTGACGCCTCCGGGTGTGCTCTCATTGACGTCTGCTAGACTCCACGAATGCGAAAATATTGTTCGATCTTCTTGTTGTAGTACATTCGCGCGACGCGCGTGCTCTCAAGGTCGATAGGAGGCCTGCCCTCGCGGAGAGCCCGAATCGGAGTGACGGATCCGTGGGAGCTCCTATAACCCGGCAATTAAAATTTGTAACTGTGAGAGGCGCTGCAGCAGGTTGGGCCGCGGGACTTTGCGCGGGGCTAGTGGACTCATCGCGTGCCTCGTGGGTGTCGGCTCCCTGGAGGCGCTCGCATCTGCTGAGCACCCACCCGATCCTGCTGGCAGGCTCTTCTGCGCTGCGGCACCCCGTGGGCGCACGGGGGCCACGCGCCGCCGCGCTGCCGACAGGCGCCAATCGCATCGCAGCGTTTCCCTTTTCGGTTTGCCGGCATTGCAACCATCCCCTGGGCCGCGCCCCTTTGCACATCTAGCAAACCCTCACGCACCGCGAACATAGGTGCGTCGGAGCCGCCACGAAAACTTGACGCGCGCAGCCCTGGCGACCCATTGCCTGAGCGGGCGTGCCGCCTGAGACGCGGCGCGCGCTCGACACCCGGCAGCGGTTCCACCGGTCGCGCCGCGCGCAGCTGCCACACGCGGCCCGCGCCGCCGCTGGCGATGGCGGCCGTGGCTATCGACCGCTCGGGGCGCCATGCCGCCGTGCGGCAGCTCGCAGGTGAGGTGGGCTGCGGCCGCGCGGTTGCCCTCTCCCTGCCCGCGCGCGCATGCCCCGTCCCGGCGGGGACCCGGGAGCCGCCGACCCGCGCTCCCGGTCTGGCCGCCGCCCCCATGACCTCTGCAACAGCCCCCTGCAGCACCTCTTCGGCCCCCTGTACGCCGCCAGCGGCCAGCAGCCCCGAACCGCGCAGCGC